TGAACTAAATATACTTACATTTAAAAATTGGTACCAGGTCGCTGAGGCCCCATTCATCTAACAAATCTTCCATTTCAATTGAAGTTATTCATACACTTATTGGATGAATCACAAAGAAGTGCTAATACCAATTTTCCAGATTCTCTACAAATGCGCTGTGTCTCTGCCTAATAATAAGTATCACATCTCAACATGTGCCAGTCATATCTCTACCGTATCAGTGCAGTGGGTGCATTTTAAAATAAGTTTCAGCTGGCAACACCATGCAGTGAATTTGTAGTCGCTAATCTTTTGTGAAGTACATAGGTTTTTGATTCGAATTGCTTAATTCTTGTTCTGAAATTTAAACGCTTTAAATCGAATCCTTTTATAACATTGAATCAAGTACGCAACCGTCGGTTTTAAGAGCATATCATACAATAAACATAAGAGCTTTCTTGGATTAATTCACAACTCTATACTCGAATGAAATAATTTATTATTATAAATCTTAAAATACAAGATTATGCAAATACTTCACTCAACATTTACTTATTGTATCGAGAAATATTATTTAAAGCAAACTCTGCTATATTTCAAACAAATGTAATCTTTCAAGTATAAAGCTTTTCTTGAATGTAGATGATAATTTTTTTCTGTGTACTGTAACAGGAAAGGCGATACTGTGGAACACCTCCTTATAAAGACTAGATAGAAGGAGGCGAATCGGCAACGACTAAATATGAAATTTCTGCCCTTCTTTTTAAAAAGTTCGCTAAATTGACTGTAGTTTGCAGGTCGAATGTCACTGGCTTTCATTTTCTATATAAGTCAATGTAAACTGAAGTTATTTTTTAAAAAATGGGTGAAAAGAATCATAATAATGTGAAAAAAGTACCTGAGTCGCAACATGAGTGACAAAAAACATTAAAGCAAGATTTACTTCGTTCCAGATTGTAAAACAGGATAAAAATCACACGCAAAACTCAAGAAAACACAAGGAGAAATCAACTCAATATCTTTTTAAAGTTGCTATTGTAAGTAAAATAATGTATTTATTTCTAAATATAATAATTATTGTAAACTAGTCACAACACGTATCACGGAGTGTAGTTTTTTTATTACAAGATTCTATAAATTAAAATTTTACAGTCATAGATAGACAACAATAATAATTATACAATAACTTGAACTTAATAGAAAATTTATTTTTAATAGAGTTTTAATGTTAAATAAAGTGTTGCTACTGTTATTTTTTTTGTTGAACCCCAATTTTGTCATTGTAAATGTTTTTCATAGGATCCTAAACTTTTAGGACAGTGGCAGCATATATATCGTTCCTAGGGCCGATAAAGCACTTTCTAGAGATTATGCTGTTTTACACTTTTTAAAAGATATTTTCAAAAAATTGTACATATCAAATTTCATCATTCAACAAATCTTTTTGAATTTGGTCATACCTACCTAAATTGCATTTTGTATAGATAAAATTAAATAATTTTTTAATTAAAACATATAAGACTTATTTAGAAATAAATACAAAGATATATTTTGTGCATTAGTTATTATGTTAACAAAATTATGTAAAATTCCCATAAGAAGCTATGTATTTTGAAAAACGTTACTAGCAACATCGCCCTTGCGGTGAATTAAAAGAGCTCAATAAGCATTCGTTTTGTGGAACCGTATTTCGAGTATGCCGATTCGCCTCCTTAGGTTCTTTTATTTGTCCCATTGGTGTAGGAATTAACTACACCAACGCACGCCATACCTTTCGTTTGGCCCGATGTAAAATCCACTACATCTTCCTGTCGGCGAGGTGGTGTCCACTGGTAAATATTTTCTCCACCAGCTATTCAGTAGGAGAGAATTACACTCGGCATGAGTATCAGGAACAAGGAGAAAGTAAACTAGGTATAAAGGTGGTGTAACTGGTGTAATTTACACCGGTGGACACTGCACCAACAGCGAACGAAATACCCTCTTATCTTTAGTTTTCATACACCTCCTACACTTCTTCATGACGTCACTTACACGATATCTAACCGCCGGCAGATGGCGACACGTCTATTATAGTTCGTTGGATTGACGTTTCTGTTACTTCATCTAAATTCCGCTAGACGGTGCCATGTATATAGTAGTTACCTTGATTAATGTTTCTGTTACTTCTTCTAACCAGCTTTAGATGGCGCCGCGTGTATATAGTACTTCAACATACTTTGAATACTATACGGTGCAAGAGAGAGGTCCGACACGCCCAACATAGGGCGCGGCTATTTTGATTCCTATGCCACAGTTTATAGCTAAAGAATCAGATCGCTTACTCTGCGTCGGCACTTTTGATCTCAATGTTCTAGTTTATACACTGCGCAACTCGGATAATACAATATATGACAAACGCCTATAATAAAACAGCAGTCTTCTGCGTATCCTGAATTTTTATCCGTGGAGTGGATGTTATTTTAGAACTTTCAACTAGTCCGAATGAGCTAACTGATTCGTTAGCAATAAACTGTGACTCCAAAAATAATATTCACTGACACTGACAGCAGCAAACAAAATATCAGGTGCGTTTTAATCATCCGCTTCTGCTTCCGGAATTGTCGGTTTAGTCATTTTAACCTGTCAGATTAAAACAAGAAAACCAACAATTCCGAAGCAGAAGCGGATGATTAAAACGAACCTATTAAAAATATTGCGCCAAGATGTAGGCAACACGTAATAAGGGATCAAAATGGTAGAGTTTTCTATCTCCTTCTAAAAGGCACGCAGAAAGATGCGCAAAGTATGTGTGTAATTCTCTTAACTGACATTTCTATCAGTTCAACTAAGTACCGCTAAATATAGTTTTTAGAGAGTTATTGCAAGTTCCCTTAAGGTCAGTCACTATTAGTGCCGCTCTTATTTTGACATCTGAGCATGTGCAGATCACTAACTTTAATAAAGATTGTGCCTGTCCTTAATAGAGAGATATTGCAAATTTCTATAAAGCCAGTCACTAATAGTGACATAAGAATTAGAGTCAAATAAATTCTATAATAGTACCTAATATTAAAGAGGCATTAGAAATTATAATTTTAGAAGGTTTAAATGACGAGCGCATCCGAAAGCTATAAAGTCGCCACTACCTGCTGCCCTAAACATCCACAATTAAGGACAGGCACAATCCTTAATAAAGTCAGTTTTAGAACATAAACATCTGCGCATGCTTAGATGTCAAAATAAGAGCGGCACTAATAGTGACTGTCCTCCCTAAGTGAACTTGCTATAACTCTCTTATTAAGGGCAGGCACAATGTTTATAAAAGTTAGTGATCTACGCATGCTCAGATGTCAAAATAAGAGCGGCACTAATAGTGACTGACCTTAAGTGAACTTGCAATAACTCTCTATTATCTACCTAACGCTAGATTGATGCTGTCAACTGTCATCTAACCGATACTACGTACATTCTATCATTTATATTAGATCTTCTTCTTTGCATCGAAAGTGTAGCACTGAGCTACGCTACTTCTGAAAATATCGTTATATTTATACAAATTGTCTGGATGGAACGATATTTTCAAAAGTGGTGTAACTTACTGCTGCACTTTCGATGTAAGGGAATAGACTTTGATTTTCTCTTACTATACGGAGAATGGTCGCACCGCGCATCTTTCTTAGTGCCTTTTAAAAGGAGTTAGAAAACTCCGGCATTTTGAAGCCTTATTACGTGTTGCCTACATCTTGGCGCAGTATTTTTAATAGGTGCGTTTTAATCATCCGCTTCTGCTTCGGAATTGTCCGTTTTTTTAATTTTAATCTGACAGGTTAAAACGACTAAACCGACAAATCTGGAAGCAGAAGCGGATAATTAAAACGCACCTGATGCTTGCAGGATACGCAGAAGACTGCTGTTTTATTATAGGCGGTTGTCATATATTGTATTATCTGAGTTGCACAGTGTATAAACTGGAACATTGAAATCAAAAGTGCCGACGCAGAGTGAGCGATCCGATTCTTTAGCTATAAACTGTGGCATAGGAATAAAAATGGGCGTGTCTGACCTATTTCTTGCACCGTATAGTAATCAAAGTATGTGGTTGTGTGCTTTTATTTATCATCATCTGTTAGATGGATGTTGCCATATGTCATTAACAATTAATAATCTATGTAATCTAAATCTGTCATTCCTAAACTCAATATACATCACCATTATTCTTAACAACAGTTACAGCAACTCACCACCATAATTAATTTTTTTGGAGGATCGAACGGTCACAAATCACCAGTTTACCAAATTGAAATTAATTTATCTTTTTTAAAATATCTAAATGTTATACTGGGAAAATTATCTTTAGAGAATAATAATTATAGCAGGGACAGAAGCTGGAAAGGCTTTTTGCAGTTCTCCTACTTCATACATGAAAATTGACAGTTTTGCGAAGCTAACCAAAGTTAACGCGATACATTGGCGTAAAAAATTATTATATGGATGTAAATAACACTTTTGGCTAAATAGTTTATTAAACTGTGAATAGCTGTTAAAATTTTATGAAATTGTGATTTAGGATATTATAATACTGGTTTAATAATTATTTCTAATCCATAAATACATGAGATTGTCCGGTTTCGGTAACAATTTAAAATTACTTTCTCTATGAAACCCTACTGGCAGATAAACATTGCTGCGAAATTCTCGAAGTCGTTCGACGTGGTTTGGCGTTTATCCCCTCTCTGTCTACCAAAAGCCTTTCCAACTTCTGCCCCTGCTGTACAAAGCCAATGTGACATGATCTTTTTATGAACACTTGTATTTTATTTTTAAACGTGATGTAATTTTTATCTCGAAGTCGAAGAACCGGCACGTGTCATCCAAGACCGGTATAAGATCTAAATTTTATCAGAAATTATGAAAGATTTTAATTTGTGTAGAAAAAAATGTTTTAAATTTTTTTACACATTTAACATCATGCATTTTGTAAGAAAAATAACACGATTATCAAAACAGACTTAAGAATTCTTATACAACATAACGCAGATCGAAATTAAAGCCGTTACACTATAAAAACATTTTATTATACCAAAAATCTCAAAATCCATGGAATGCTATGATCGTCAACGAATATAAAATCGAAAAAATACAAAACACATATCGACAAGAAGAAAAATTCCTGGCAAAAACCGACGAGGCCAAAGACTACGGAAAATTGACACCATTTCACGCAATCCGGTGCGTTTAATTCAGGCAGTTTACGGGCAGCCCCCTGTCGCAGCAGATCGCATTCGACGAGGCCAGTCCTGTAAAAACCCAAGGTGCGTCCTCTCTGCATATTTTGGCTTGCACGTAACCCTAAAAATACAAAAAAAAAAAACATTAAAAACGTTAAAAATTGGTTAAAACACCGATAAACATTAAATAACTATTAAGAAACGTAAACTATAAAAATAACATTAGAAAAGCAATAAACCAATAAAAAACATCTGTAAATATTTTGAAAACAGTAAAATAATATTTTAAAAACATTTAAAAACCATTGAAAAAACATTCAAACATTCTAAAAACATGTTAAAAAAATCTAGAAACATTTAAAACACATTTAAAAAACATTATAAACCTTTTAAATCATTTATAAACGTTAGTGAAAACATTTAAGTAGAAAACCTTTAAACACATTTAAAATCAATTAAAAACGTTTTAAAAATATTTAAATAAACATTCATAAATTATTGAAAATACATTAGAGAAATATAAAAAAAAACAATTCTAAAGCATCTAACAAAGCCTTTTAAAAAGCAGTTAGGAAAGCAATTAAAAATCATTTAAAGTATAAAACGTGGAGGGTCAATTGAATACCCTCAAATATGGACATCTTAATAAAAACAAAGTAATACTTAAAATTTGTACCACATAAATGTATTATCTTGTCCTTTATTTAAAATGAACCTCAAGGATCAGTTTTGAGACCGTTGCTTTTCGACATAAATATAAAACTTAGGAAATTATATAGAATCCGATACAGATACTCTTTTATACACTGTTAGCAATCCAGATGTTATAAATATCTTACTAATAGGAATAAAATGCATAATCAAATGTTTACTCACTTTTATTTCAATTCCAGAAGGCATATGGTAGCATAAAGTCGATGGTTCCAATTCGTTGTAGGACAACGTACCCAAAATACATACTTTCTTGCAAGCCTCTTCGAACGGAACCAATTCGTGGCACGATATGTTTTTGAAACTTTTCGTCCTTAGTGGTATATCGTTCACAGAAGGGTTTTCTGTGGTGTAAATGCCACACATGCATCCAACGGCTGAATTATTAAAGAGAATATAGGTCAAAAAGCGTTAAAAATAACTAATAATCAGTAATTAAAGGGTGTTAAATCTGGGCGTTAATATAAAACAACAATCTCGAATAATACTTTGAAAGGTTATTCTTTTATCTCCAATAATATTCAAGGAGTTAATTACTACTATATAAACAGGAACTTAAATCTCTGTGGGCTATTGTATTCAGCTATGGGGATGTGTCATTGAAATAATTTAAATAAAGTACGAAGGAACTGTGATCATCTGTGACTTGAAGATAGACACCCTCAGGTATCGGTAATTGGTATAGCCCAAACTGAAACGAATGTTTTAGTTTTAAAGAACTAATTCTAGAGTGCGTTGTACAAACAATTTACAGAAATCTACAATTGATGGAGGAAAGAGTGGGAGTGTCATTTGTCATTGATCATTGTCAGGCATCTTTTACCTGTATTTATTGTGATTATCAATAATATCAAATATCATATTGTCAATAATTATTATTTGTATTTGGAAGTGCTCTGGATCCTGGATGAATAAATAGTAAGTATTTTGTAAATTATTGTTTGTTGTATTATCAACTTGGTCTTGTTCAATTGTGTTTTTAATGTTCAATTTGTTTACTTGATCTTGCTGACGATTGTGAGCTTATTTTAAATTTTTGTAGTCATTTTTAGTTAAAAAAGTTGTAATATCTCGTATTGTATGCCAAATTGTTTTGTAAACACTCTGAAATCCTAATAACGATTTATTTCAAATTTGAATATTTGCTGTCCGCAGTCCGTTTTTCAAGAATAAAACAACAAATTTGTAAAAACTATTTAGTATGTGATAAACAGTTTGAAGATAAGTTTAAAGTACCTGATACACGCAGAGATAGATCTAACTGTTTTTTTTTTATTTGTTCTAGTACAAACTTTTTGAAGCTGTTTGGAGTGGCAGTATTGCATCGTTGAAGACAAAAACAGCCTAGTCAGGGAAGTAATAGTCACTGTACTTTTTCTATTCATGCCTCACTTTCCTTGCTGCCTAACACATTTAATTTTTAAATTGATTTAGTTCAGATTGTTACTTTTACTGTTTTTCATTTGTTCTAGTACAAACTTTCTTCAATGGGGAAACTGCAGATCTAAATCATATATTTTTTCAATGTGGCAAATATAATAATAACAAACTATTATTTAATTTAAATAAATTTAATATCAATCCATCTCTCAATATTACTACTTTACTCGCAACTTTTAATAAAAATATTTATGATATAATATTAGAATTTGTCAATGAAAATAATATCATAATCTAGATTATTACTTGTATCATACCCACATGATAATCTATTAAAAAAAAATACCATTTTGAGTGTGTGGCAAATGGCTTACAGTCGATGCCAAAAAAAAAAAAAACTTTCTTCAAGCCGTTTGGAATGGCAATATTGGATTGTGGAAGACAAAACAGCCTATTCCTAGAAGTAATGGTCAGTGTACCTTTTTTTATTCATGCCTCACTTTTTGTGCTCCCTAACAGATTTGAAGGGGTCAAGTCACAATTGCCAAAATGTTCAGAAATCCAAATTTAATTTAGACTGACTAAATACAAGTTTTTGATACTTTAAGGCAATTCATTACAAAAAGATGTTACTTTGTATAAATGTTGCCTGATTATATTGTAGTTTACCACTTAATTTACCAGACAGTTGTAATTTTTTATTCTAAATACTGAAAGTGCCAAACAAACAGTAGGGAAAGACGCTATAATTTTAAATGCACTGTTTGGCATTTGCTAATTTGGCTTATTACATGGAAACATACTGGTATTTTACAAAACAGGGCGGACCAGTTCAATTTTGACAAAAATGTGACTTAGCCGCTTTTTCTTCATACGTCCTTGATTTATTTATTAACCGACTTCAAAAAAGGAGGATGTTCTCAATTCGTCGGGATATTTTTTTTTATGTATGTTCAGCGATAATTCTTTAACACGGTGTTGGATTTCAATAATTCTTTTTTTGTTAGAAAGGGGCTACTTCAGGGGTGGTTCCATATAAATTTGGTCAAAATCTAAAAATTGGGTCCATGAGAAAATCCTCAAACTCTTTATTTTTTATGTATGTTTAGCGATAATGCTTTACCACCTTGTCCGATTTATATGATTCTTTTTTGTTAGTAAGGGGGTACCTCAGGGGTGATCCCATATGGTTAAGATGTGGTGTTGGCATCTGCACGTTTTTGAAGTCGGTTTTTTTAAATTTTTAATTTACACTTGTAAGTTTATTAATATTTATTTTTTGTTCTAGATAAAACCTCTGTGGACAATGACTTAACTTCCCAGCTAATTAACACGATACGGTTAATTATTCTATTTGTATGTTTTTTGTTTCAATAAATTAATTTTCTTAATCATGCTTTGAATTTTTTTGTTTTAATAAAATATTTAAACTTGAAGTCAAATTAGAATTGGTTCATATTACTTATTTTTTGCTTTGTTGTAACAAATATAATTTTATTGCTACAATAAACGTAAAAAAGGAGTTAGTATGAACAAATCTTAATTTGACTAGCACTTTTAAACTTAATATTAAATGACAATTTTGAATGTTCCCGCGTTTTGTATTAACTAAAGTGACCGCGAGATGGCGCCACTTCCATCCAAATAGTTCAAAGAACAGTCACCCGGCGCTACAATACTGTCTCGAATTTTAACATTGCCGTTTCCATTCTAAAAGTAAGTGATCTGTGGACAACCTTAACCCTCGGTCACCCGCGTTAAATTTCGAAACAAGAGTACCCGCGTAGTATCTGTAAGACGCCATTCAATTATGTCATAATGGAATGAAAATAAATGCTACAGATTTTATTTAAATAATTTACATATTACTCATATATATTTTAATGTTTTAAATTCGCAAACAAAAATTTCGTTCTTACAGCAGTAAAATAAATATGTAAAAAATATAACATCATTTATATTTTTAAACATACTGTGATGTTTGTTTATTTTTTATTATTTATTTATTTTATTCTTGAAGAGTCTCGTCTCGTTTCTGTTCGCGATTCTTTAACTGTGACTGGTATAAATGTTCCAAGTGTTCGTGGCCATATCGCATGTTCAATCTCTTTCTGAATTGTTTAAAATTATCAGTCTCTTCCACAGGTATAGTCTGAAGGATATCTAAAGCGTCTCCTCGAAGGCAATGGTCAAATTTATTGCCTTTTCTCGTTCAGACCATTCATTTGCTCTGGCAGCTGTTTCGAACTGCTTAAGGTAGTTCGTCCGTGATATCTTCCCGTCAAAAGTTGGGGCTTTAACACGAGCAGAATTTACAACTCCTTCCAAATTCAACTTTGACTCTACCTCATGGCACTTTATTTCACCGTTCTTGGTTTCGTCTACGTGTTCCATTTCTTCTATCTTCTTTTCCATTTATTTTATTTTCTCCTCAACGGAAGATATAATTTTATTCTCAAAGAAAGATATTTCATTTCTTATAAAAGATATTTTGTTTTCCGAATCGGAAGAAATTTCATCTTTTATCGAAGAGATTTCAGAAGAAACTTTAGTTTCTAAAGAAGAGATTTCGTTTTTTACGGAAGACATATCAGAAGACACCTTCCTTTCTAAGGAAGAAATATCAGACAAAACTTCACTTTCTTAAGAAGAAATGTCAGAAGAAACTTTAGTTTCTAAGGAGGAAATGTCTGAAGAAACTTTATTTTCCATGGAAGACATTTTACTTTCCAAAGAAGAAATTATAGAAGACGCATCATCAGGAAATATATACGTTTTCGGATCCAAACCTTAACTTTCTAGTGCTTCTTTAAGCCGCTCTGCCAGCTCTGCTTTCTTTCATGTCGTCTCCAGATCACGATCTTCTAATTCTCGACGCAATTCAGCCACTTTTAAATCACACAGCTTTTTAGCCATTATCGTCCACTATTTATTTACACTATTTCACTTCTCGACACCAATGTGATGTTTGTTTATTTTAAAACAACAGTTTATTTATTAATAATTAATTTAAACACTCAATACCATTCTAATTTACATATATTTCGAATGTCTTTGAATCGTTCACTATTTATATTCACAGTCCAATACTTTATTCCCCCGTTGATCCTCCACCAATATATATACACACAAATTTAAAATTATGGTGAAGGTTCCAGAATGCTCCTCCGCCAAATTAGAAATATCTCGTTATATTTGGAATAAACTAGAAAGAGTATCCCGTTCTTTATCGAATAGTAATCGAAAGCACCTCCGCCATAGTCGTCACATATGTTTTGTCTTAAGGTATTAATTATGTATGATAAACGGAGAAGTTGAGCCTCAAAGGCCAGAGGGACTTGGAAGATTAGAGCATGACTGAATAATGAAGTGGCTCACATTACAATACGAACAAAATAAATTAAATTCATAAAATACACAAATAAATTCTTAACATAAATAGAATAATATAAGAAAAATAAAAAACAAATCCCTAAACGCGATAATATCAATTTTATTTGAAATTACATGACTGACATATATATTCTGGGACGGAAATAAACTGGGCGCAAAAATAATCCCTTTACCTGTATTTTTAAAACGGTCTATGATCTTTACATGTAAATTGGGAGCCGGACTTTTTTTAACTACCTGTCTGTATGCGCTAACTAATATACTTAATATAATCTAAACTAAATCCCAAAATTAAATGTTCTTTACTTGCTCAGGTTAATTAGATTCATAATTTAGTTTATTTCTACTGTTGAAAGCGTGCAGGTGGAATATGTCGGTGTCAGTCATTAAAAGTGAACGTGGAAGTGATTTAATTATATATAAAAAATTTACATTTTCAAAAGATAAAGTTTTAAAAAGTGGTGAGACATCATGGAGATGTAGCCAAAAAAAAAACTTTATACTGTTGGTACAGAAGTCCTCATTTCAAGAAAATATAATGTTCATAATTATGAAATAAATGAACAAAAGGTACCAGGCAATATGTTTCAAATACGTGTAAAAG